GAAGTGTGAGATGCTCGAGAATATACTCCGGTGTCCTGTTATATTTTAGATAGCAAGGAGTTTATTAAACTTCACCGAAACAATCTGCAAACTTCATTAAAATTTAATAAACTATCATCTTGTCTTTATTTTTAAAGCTTAAAGCTGTAAGGTGAGCAGATGCATGCTGATGCAATAAGCTGTACATTTTACGTCCAATGGATGATGATCTGATTAGTCGACTATCAAAATAATCGTTTGTAGCAGCCCTAATCGAGTATATTCGATATATCACCCGCCCCTACCCGAGGGTTGGACGCTGAATTATTGATATTATTAATAATAATAATTACCATCTACACCATCACGTCTTGTTTTCAGCAGCACAAAAGTGTTGCATCAAAGCACAGGGCAAACTTGAGAATACTAATATGTTTGCTTTCCTTCATTGCAGACACGCTTGGTCTTTTAAAGGTTTACAGACACAAACTCACTCGCTCACTTGTCCCATCAATCGTCCCTTCAAGGCGGTGAATCGCCCGTTTAACGAACTAGTGAAGCATAATCTGTCAGTGCCATCAACTCCTGCTGTGCTTTACCAGCTCCTTTTTTTTCCAAGCAGTTTTGAATGTAATGGGAGAGAGAATAACAATCATTGACTCTGTATATAGAAATAATAATCATAGCATTACTATAAGGACTCACAAATGTCAGCAGATTTGTGAAGGCCGATTGCTGAAATGATTGAATGGACATAAGAGAATGTAGTGCACTGGGAAAGTATTCCAGGTGTGTTGTTAGCAGCCTGGACAACCACAGATGGTCCCACAGCCGCTCTGTGTGCTTAGCTGGTTCCTGGTTTGACATTCAAGTTCGGTCTTTGTTTGATCAGACCAGAGAATTTTCTCAAGTCCTTCGGGTGCTTTTTTGGCAAACTCCAGGTGACTCACGTCTTACAGAGTCACTTCTGTCGGGTGACTTTACCATGCAGGCCTAATTCTTGTAGTGCTGCAGAAATGGTTGTCCTTTGCGAGGTTCTGCTGGAGCTCTGTCAGCGTGACCATCAGGTCTCTGTCCCTGCCTGATTATGGCCCTCGTACCGTGATTGCTCAGATTGGCAGGGCAGTCACCTCTAGGAAGAGTCCAGGTGGTTCCAAACGTCTTCCATGGAGGCCAGTGTGCTAACTGGGAGCTTCAAGCTGCAACAAGTTTTTTTATGTACCGTTCCCCATTCTACTTCTCCCGCGTACACTTTGCTTGTTGATGTCATTTCGTATGTTGTAAACTAAAATGTACCGAGGCTTCAGCGTGGTGGTGACTGCATCAATGTGCTTAAATCCTCAGACACAATGGCGAGTCCAGGGAAAGACAACTACAGGATGAAGAGCTATAAGAACAAAGCGCTGAATCCTCAGGAAATGCGTCGAAGGAGAGAAGAGGAAGGAATTCAGCTACGCAAACAAAAAAGAGAGGAGCAGGTGATCTTTGCTAACTCAAGCTCCCATTAAAGAGTTGTGTCCATGTGGCTTCTTACTCACTCTGTGTGTTTGCTTAACATTGATTTTGCTGAGCTTTTGTTTTTTGACTGGTTTGTGTTTCTCTCTTTGCT